GGAGAGAATTTTTCTTTGAAGACTTTGTTACTTAATGATGGATTGATGCTTCACTTTATATTTCAGAGTGAGATCAGAAAAATCACATGAAAGATTCAGGTATTTTCTTAAAATTATTTCAAAAACTATAGGATAATCATCTTTGGAATATTGTTAAACAATTACAAACAAAAAAGTTACAAATGAACTATTCTCGATTTGTTCTCCCAATGTTTCTATGTAGCATTTAGCTGGTCATTAAAAGTATCAGAGAAAAGGAGGAAATAGATTTGCACACAGACCTCTTAAAACAGAAGAGAACTTTACATTAACATAGTTACATTCCAGTTATTTATAGGTTGATTTAAAATATGTATTCCCTGTTCCTAGAAACCTAAGGGAAAATTTTTAGCAGTTTCTCTTCTCTAATTTACATCTAAATTTATGTTCTGGAATGTAAATAAATTTATACAAGATGGATTTTAGTGGACATACACTTTCCCTCCAAATAAAAATCAACATGTCAATGATTAAAATATGAATGAATGTATTAAAATGAGTAAGGCCTCTCTATATATCTGATGACAAACTGATCAGTAATCTAGTGCTTCACACAGAAAATTGCAACAGTGAAATTTCCTGAGTAAATTAGGAGTTTTCTTTTCTCCTCCTGGCTAGCTCTACAATCTCAGCCTTAGAAGTGCAGTTTCTATGTCTGCTGCCTCCCTTCAAAAGCAATTGCCGTCACCCCCAACAAATTCAGGTATCTCTATCAAATATTAGCCAGACCAAATCCTCTCAGCATAGCTCATGTCCTCTCGGGTGCCCTTCATCAGCCTGTGCTTGGCATTTACCTAAGAACAGGATATTAAAACATTCCCTCTACGTGTCTGAAGTTGATCCTCACTGCTCAGTTATTTCAGAAATTTTTTACAACTGTTCCATCTTTAAAGTGATCTGTAGACAGTTGTCATGGATGAACCATCCAAGAGTTCTGAACCATCAAAAATCATCAAAGCATTGTATGCAAAGTCCAAGCACTTTAGCATTGCTATTCATGGAACACAATCTCAAAGCCTGCAAGTCATCTGGGCCAGATGACCTAACTCAAGATCTCCACCAGCATTCATGGAAGGAAGAATGCAGGAGAAAGAATTCAATGTTTGTGAAGTTTGACGGCCTGGTGTTATGCCCTTCCTCCACATTAGAAACCTGTGATATCCAGCTAAATGTAAATCCCTAAACCTCAATTTGCACATGGATTTATATAGAGAGTAGGTATTTAATCAATAATTAAATGAACACACAGCTCAGGGTTTTTATTCTGGTGGTGATTGTTTTGGTATGTTTTACCAGTAGCAGAGCTTGAACTCAAGGCCTTGCACTTATGCGGCTTTCTTGTTTATGGCTGGTGATTCACTACTTGATCACACTTCCAGGTCAGCCTGATTAATTGGAGATTCATAGATTCTCATAGAATTTTGTGCACGGCTTGTTTTTAACTGTGATTCTCCTGATCTCAGTCTATTTAGCTAGGATTATAAGCATGAACCACTAGTACCCAACTTCTCAGATTATTTTCCATTTTCCCAAATCATTATCGTCCTCTGAACTGTGCTCGCCTTCATTCTGTGTTCTCTGTCTGGGATTGCCTTTTCTCCCCTTTACCATTTCATTTGATTACTAGTATTGGTCCAGGAGATTCTTCCAATAACAGCATTCTACCCAAGCACCAGCAACCTGTCTAAGATATGGCTTTTGAACCCATTCCCAAACCCATAATATGGAATACTTATTGGTGTCCAATCATATATATCAACCACAGCCCCAGAACCTCCAGAACTGTGGTCTCATTAGCACTGGCTTGAGTCCTTTACCTGATCTGCACTGGTGTCAGCACCTAAGCCCCTACCATGGGAATTCTCAGGACATGTAAATTTACTAGTATCTGATGTATTACCTTAGTGGTCTTTCCATCATTTTCTACCTTTCCAAGAGACAGGGACCTAAGTAACAGTACTGCTCAAGGGTCCCTAAACACAGGGCTCTCCTTTCAGCTTTAGAGATGCTCACTGTTTCTCATGTCCTACAACTGATTAATTAAATTTGATATCACATTTGGAGGAACTCCCTCTGGAAACTTGGTGGTTATTGCTCAGCTTAAACTGACATTGCTGAGCTGGCGATGCAGATAAGAAATAGAGCGCTTGATGAGCATGCACAGGGCTGGCCTGACTTCAAACTCAAGTACTACCAAAGGGGAGAAAAAGCATGAAAAATAAACCTTTATAGAATACCTTAGACAGTAAATTCAAATGTTCCATAATTGCAATGGATATCACCGTGAGGCCATCCATTGATTTGAATAAATAAAAATATATAGGATTATTTGTTGTCCATGTCTGATTGACCTCCATTTACATATGCTAGTTAAAACACTTGAAACCCAGACAGGAACAGGGGATTTATGCCTCTAAGCCTTGCTACTCAGGAGGATAAGACCCACAGGATTGAGATTCAAGGCCAACTCAGGTCAAAAAGTCTACTAGATTCCAGGTCCAAACATAACAAGAATAAGGAGGGCTGGAGGCATGGCTCAAGTGCTTGAGTTCCAGACAAGCCAGTGTGGGGTCCTGAACTCAAACCCGAGTACTGACTACTACTACTGCTACTGCTACTACTACTACTACTACTAATACTAATAATAATAATAGTTGAAATTTTGTAGTGTCCATTAACACAAGGACCAGGGTCAAGTGTGGTGGCTCATGCTTGTCATCCTAGCTACTTGGCAGGCAGAGATCAGGAGGATCATGGATTGAGTACAACCCAAGCAAAAAGTTAGCAAGACCCCATCTCAGTAATAAGCTGTATGTGATGGCAGCCACCTGTCATCCTAGATATACAGAAAGTAGAAGTAGGAAGATCATAGTTCAGGAAATTTCAGGCAAAATTGCAAACCCTAACTGTAAGATGAAGTCAAAAAGGGCTAGGGCATGATCAAATGGTAAATTACTTGCCTAGTAAGCCTGGGGCCCCGAGTTCAATTCCCAGTATCACCCCTATATCTTGTCATGCCTGCTTTATTGAAAGAAAATGTTATGTGCCATACAGATAATTTTCCTAGTGCAAGGTATTTTTTCCTTAAAGCCAAAAAGAATAAAAGGAGGTTACTTTCTGATTTTTATAGCCTACATGCTTCCCTTCCAAGTACACCTATACTCAAAAGGATGGCAGACACAGGTATTATTACTCATGAACTATTTTTCTGTCACAAACTCACCTGTAAATTTTATCTGGTTGATATTATTGGGGCTTTCCAGTCTCAATTTGGCTTCTTCAAAGCACCAGCTATACTCTTACTGGTTTGCCAATGGATATTTAAACAGCTTTGTTATGACCTATGACCTTTGTGATCAAGACCTGGACATGTTCTCCTTTGGTTATAGTCTCTTCTGCTGGAATTATATAGATAATAATCTCTTAAAGTGTGAGGCACTATAGACCATCCAAGCAGAAATGGACACCATACTAGCCCAACTTCAAAGCAGTAATTGAACTATCACTCCAATTAAAATCTAAAGCTAGGAACTTCTGTTACATTCCACAGTGATGGACAATTGTCTTTCCTTTGGTTAGATCATTATCATTATTCTATTGGGCAAAAGGGCAATTTCCTTATGCAAAGTAGAGATCTATGGACATTTGGCAAGAGGTGGTGATCATTCATCCTATAATCTGCATCACCCATGTCTCTGTTCATACTAAGACCAATATATGTAAGACTCACAGAGGTGCCATACCCTATACCTGTAATATTATGATCCAGCAATACTCCAGGCCTCGCTGGGACAGCCACAGAGATCATTGCTCTAACCCAGGAGGGAAACATCCATTCCCTGGGGCCAGCCTACAATTGTCCTAAATTCCAGTAGCTCATACTTCCAAAGAACAGAAAACAATAGGTCTGCTACTTAATTAAGGCCAGAGAACCCTAGAAAATAGAAATTTGACAATAAATTTGTATGCATTACACATTAGCTAGTTATATATTCGTGATATAAATATGTCTTACTATATGTAAGAAAAGCCTAAATCACAAATTTATCATCTTAAAAGATGTTAGTTGTACCTTTCTCATGCTCTATGGTTCACACCAAATGTACTGAAGCCATACTAGGACTTTCTCGCCTTGCTAAAAAATAAAAATAAAAATGGGGAGCCTGCTATACCCTCAGGAACTTTTTTTTTTTTTTGTCTGTCCTGGGTCTTGAACTCCGGGCTTGGGCGCTGTCCCTGTGCTCTCAAGGCAAGCACTCTACTAGTTGAGCCACAGCACCACTTCTGGTTTTCTAGTGGTTTATTGGAGATAAGAGTCTCATGGACTTTCCTCTTCGGGCTGGCTTTGAACCTCAATCCTCAGATCTCAGCCTCCTGAGTAGCTAGGATTGCAGGCGTGAACCACCAGGGCCTGGCTTACCCTCAGGAACTCTTAATGATTCTATTTATAGCTCTTTCATTTTTCACTGCCATAACAAAGTTTTTGCTATGCTCACTTATACAACCATTAGAAGAGTTGCTATCATCCACTGGTCAGATACAGTCCTATTCTCTACAAGGCCCTGTTATTCAAGTCACTCAAATATCCCAAATAATTGACTTCAAAATGATGTCAAGGTATCCAGGACTTAATTATTATGTATGTTTTTATCTGTGGGTTATTCTCATGTTTTTCGTTTCCTGTCCTGTCGTGGTCTAGTTTTGAAGGCCTCGCTAGTGGTTAAGCAAACTCCCTTTCTTGAACTGTTAAGTCTCAGTCCCAACTACTTCTCTTATCTAAGTCTCTTGCTCCAAGGTCACTGTGTAGATTTTCTAATCACACTGGGAACAGACAACTGACAGTTAAGGACATCCCCTAGGCTCAGGAGCCCTCCACCAAGATTATTCAAATTAGCCAGCCCTACCCTGCTTGCATATATAAACTGCTCCTCACTGCTCCTATTTGCTAGTATACTATCCTTGGGTGAAGCCCCTCTTTGGTCCTGTCCAGCAGCCTCATCAGATTGAAGCTGTAAGTAACACAGAGTTCTGAGTTTCGTTTGTTTTATTTCTGACCAAGAGTTCATGTGTGTGTGTGAAAGGATCTTTAGATTGTACAAAACATAAAGTTACAAAGCTTAAAACCTAGTTTTTCTGAAGTGGTTATGTCTAACAAGTCTATACAAATCTTGAAATTTGGGAGAGAAATATGAGTTTAATGTATACTTATCTTTTTATTTTCTTTTGTGCCTATCCTGGGCTTCAATTTAGGGCCTGGGTTCTGTCCCTGTGCATTTTTGCTCAAGGCTGATGCTCTACCACTTGAACCATCGCTCTACTTCTGGCTTTTTGGTGGTAATCGGAGATAAAAATCTCATGGACTTTCCTTCTCAGGATGGCTTTGAACCACAATCTTCAGATCTCAGCCTCTTGAATAGCTTGGTAGCACAAGCCACCAACTCCCAGCCTTATTCTTTGGCTAGTATTCAATTCAACATAAATTCTCTTGAACAAAGTAATCTGATAGACTTGATAGATAAGTTCTTTTAAAATTGTAAGTTCTATGGGACTGGGAAGGTGGCTCAGTGGTAGAGTGCATACATGAGGCCCTGGGTTCGATTCCTCAGCACCACATAAGCAGAAAAAGCCAGAAGTTGTGCTCAAGGCTAGAGTCCTAGCCTTGAGCTGAAGAGCTGAGGAACAGCACCCAGGCCCAGAGTTCAGGCCCCACAACCGACAAAAAAAAAAATGCAAATTCTATTAACAGCAAATCTATACTAGCTGAATTTATAAAATATCCCCTATGCCTGATGTGTGACTCTTCTGAAGGCTTTAAAGGGGGAAAGGGATTCTAATCATTAAAGCAATTTCAGTAGAGAAATGGATTAAATGTGTGCATTAATAATTAGCCTTAAACATGCAGTAAAAGGATTTTTAATTAGCAGCTCATTTTTTATTAAAAATGATATACTTTAATTTTCTAATATATTAGACTCTATTACATGTCTTAAGTGTCTTAAGAAACTGTCTTTAGGCTGGGAATGTGGCTTAGTGGTAGAGTGCATGCCTACCATGCACGAAGCCCTGGATTCGAACCTTTGGTAGCACATACACAAAAAAAATGAATAAAGTTACAAAAAGAAAATATTGTTTGCCTGATGCTGGTGGCTTAGGCTTGTAATCCTAGCTACTCAGGAGGCTAAGATCTGAAGATCACGGTTTAAAGCCTGAGCAGGAAAGTCCTTTAGACTGTTATCTCCAATTAACCACCAGAAAACTGGAAGTGGCACTGTGGCTCAAGTGGCAGAGCACTCGCCTAGAGCTGAAGAGCTCAGGGACAGCACCCAGGCCCAGAGTACAAGTTCCAATACTGACAAAAAAAAAAAAAAAAAAAAAGGACATTGTCTAAAGAAGCTATCTTTCATAGATTCTTCCAGTGGTTACAAAATTAAAGTCAGAAACATCAATGTTTTAATTCTACAGGTTTAATATTCCTATAGTAATTTCTCTTCTCTCCCAATATTACAAAACGGGGAGAGACAGAGAGATGATCTCATTGGGAGGGAAACAGAGTCAAAGTTGAGGTGTCAATAAAAATGATTTGCAGTTAGGTACTGCTTACAACTAAGGCCATCAACCTGAGCCATCAATCAGCATGCAGTAGAACTTTCTTTTTTTGGGGGTCCGGTCGTGGCGCCTGAACTCTGGGCCTGAGTGCTGTCCCTCAGCTCTTCAGCTCAAGGCTAGCACTCTACCACTTGAGCCACAGTGCCACTTCGGCTTTTTATCTTTTTGCTTATGTGGTGCTGAGGAATCGAACCCAGGGCCTTGTGCATGCAAGACAAGCACTCTACCACTGAGCCAACTTCCCAGCCCCTGCAATAGAACTTTCTAAGTTCACAAGTCCACGCAAGCTGAGATAGCTCTGAACCTTTACATGGGTTTCTAAGTTACCTCTTCAACAACTTTTAATTGCCTAAATTGACAAATCAAAATACTCTCTAACTCAACTTACCACCCCAAACCATTGTCTTATAGTTGGGACTCAGTAGACAGACATGACTATGTGTACACTTCCAACTCAGAAAGAACAAAAGTAGCAGATAACAACTGCCATTTTGAGTCTCTAACTACCATTTTCTGTATGGGGAGCAAGAAACTTCTCTTTTCTATTTCTCTCTACTTTAACGCTGTTATTAAAAAAAAAATCTTGCTAAAATGTAAAAACAAAAAAATGGTCTCTCGATATATCTAATAATATCTTATGTACAATACAAACCACATTATCCTTTAAAATTTTTGTGGAAAGAGCATAAAGTCAAAGACTCTTGTGTTTGAAGGCATAAAACCATAGCAGAACTTCCAATGTGGGCATGAAATGTTTTACATCCAAACCAATAACAAAGAAAATTAAACCAAGCTAGAACTAAACCATTTTCTCCATGAAAATTACATGAAATTGTCATCATATGAAGAAATTTCATCATGTGAAGAAATTACTGGGAATTATGGAATTTAATATAGATAAGAGTCACTGAAGGTATCAAGTAGAGTGTTATTATTAGATATGCATTTTCCTTCTGTTTGAGTATATAATAGTCTAGACATTTAATTTTTTGGTCTTTAATTTTTAAATTATTTTGGTGTTTATTTTTTTTTTTTTTGGTCAGTCATGGAGCTGGACACTGTCTCTCAGCTCTTCAGCTCAAGATTAATGCTCTGCCATTTGATCCACAGTGCCACTTCCAGTTTTCTGGTGGGTAATTAGAGATAAAAGTCTCATGGACTTTCCTGCCCAGGCTGGCTTTGAACCAAGACTCAAATCTCAGCCTCCTGAGTAGCTAGGATTACAGGCATGAGCCACTGGTGCCTGGCCTGGTCTTTAATTTTTGTCCTAAGTAGATAGTAACTTTGGGCACTAGTTTTTATTATTAGTTTTACTATTAGTTTTATATTCTTTTATGACAAAATTTTAACATCATTTTAAACACTTTTAGAAACAATTCTGTGGTAATAGATACATACATTATTTGAAAAAAATTACTATTATTCAACTGTATCATCCAAAATGGAAACTGTACTTATTAAATAATACCTCCCAACAGCTCCTCCTCCTTCCCAGACCCTACACTACTATCTTCCTTTCTGTCTGTAAATTTCACTATTCTAAAACTGCATATAAGTAGTATCATATAATATTTGTCCTTATGCTTGACTTATTTCACTTTTTTGTTTTTATGATTCATCCATGCTAAGGCAGATAGCATTCCTCTTGAAAGTCAAATAAGATTGCGTTGAGTATATACTGTTAGGTTTTTAAAGAGAGGCAGCTGAGTAAGAACCATACCACACACGTGGTTTTCAGGTAATGGGTAGGTTTATTCATCATATCCGGCTGGCACCAGGCCATGTTGGCACTCTACGAGGCTGGGAGAGACCTGGGAAAGAGAGCTTCTGGCTAGGCCTTATATAGGGTAGGGGCGGGGAAAGGTGTGGCCACATCGAATCCGGATGAGACCTCAGGGGATGCAGATGTGACCTCTTCCAGGTGTGCCAGTTGCCTAGGTAATGTAGGTACTGGGCGGAGACTTTGCTGCGAGGAGGGTGGATTCTGCTCACCATCCAGGAGAGGACCTTACTTATATACCATATTTTTCTTATCCATTTATCTGTCAACAGACATTAGGTTTCTCTTAGCCTTTTAACCCTTGTGTATACACTGCTGTGAACATGAGCATACCAATATCTGTTACAGTCCTCACTTTCTCTTCATTTAGGTATAAATTCACAAGTAAAATTGCTAGAGCAGGAGGTAATTTCATGATGGTTGCCTTCCATAGTGGCAGTACCATTTTATATTCTAGCAGTAATACATAAATATGCCAGTTCTACCACATCATTGGCAACATTTGTTGTTGTCTAAAGTTTTATGTTATTGTTATTCTAGACAAGGTCTTGCTATGTAGCCCAGCCTGGCTTCAAACTTATAAACTTCCTGTCTCAGCTTCCCAAGTGATGGGATTAGAGTTGCATCTCTATATCTGGCTTTTAGAAAGATTTTTTTCTTGTTTGTTTGTTAATGTTGGTTTTGGTGGTGGTGTGGTGATGGTGGTTGTAGGTCTCTAATTCAGGGCCTGGCACTATTCTTGAGCTTTTTCCACTCAAGGCAAGCGCTCTACCACTTTGAGCCACAGCACTACTTCCAGTTTTTTGGTGGTTAATTGGAGATAAGAGTCTTACAGCTTTTCCCTGCTTCCAATTTCAGCCACCTGAGTAGCTAGGATTACAGGTGTGAGCTACTGGAATCGAGCTTAGAGAGCTTACATATGGTTGGAGGTTTTTTTTAATATGTCTTTTGTGTGTGTGTGTGTGTGTGTGTGTGTGTGTGTGTGTGAAAATACCATAAGAGGGGTTACAATTACATGGGCAAGGTAATGAGTACATTTCTTATCAAGCATTGTTGCCTCCTCTTTGTTTCCCCTTCTCATCCTTTTTCTTTCTTGCGATTGTTTCTAACATATTTATAAGATGATTTCTATGTTGTTTTGTATGTCCCTCCCCCACGGTATAACCCCTGCTTTCATTGTATTTGATATTGGTATAATTTGTGGAGGGGAAGGGCAAAAACAAATCATTTAAATAGGGATACAGGTGGACCCATTGCAACAATGAGATATACAAGTCGTTATGTCGAAAAATGAACTTTATGTGGTTGTTTTTGTTTGTTTATATAATAGTTATCTAATTTTTGTATTGTATATTTCTTTTAAAAGTGCCTCCCAAGTCCTAGTATTTCCTGAATTCAGGCCTCAAATTCAATTATACTGTATGTGGAAGGAGGGAGTCAGTTTATTCACTTTGCTATGAGTTTTTTCTTTGTTCATTAAATGATAAAAGTAAAAATGTATGTAGGATTAATCCAAAGATTAATTTAATTGGATTTGGATTAATTTAATCTAATTTGGATTAATTTACTTAATCCAAAGATTAATCCTAGATACAATCTCTGGTACAGGGCCTGCATTGAGTCAG